CTCGGCGCAGCCTCGAGTATGCTAATCTTAACGAGCTGCCACTCTGTTTCCACATCAGTTGTCATCACCGGAATCTGTTCAAACCATTGTGCGATGCTGTTTGCAAATTTTGCTCTCGTGTCCACCGAGGATAACGTTTTCCATTTGATTCTCCGGTTGCTTCTGCCACCAGATGTTCGTATGGTACTCCATTGAGTGCGAACAACAGGGTGGTGATCGGTTGACGGCCCTGCGCCTCTCTTAATGTCAAAAGCTATTACATACCGTCGAATTCAGACGATACAATTATTAAATCGATCATCAACTTCTTTGCACATACCTCCCAATACCAGGCATGCAGGTCTAACTTGCTTACCTCGCATAACGCATTACTCCTCCAAGATCACACTACTTCGCCTCGTTGCTCGTACTCGCCTGGGGAGTGGTGGCCACGTAAGAAAGCCACACTCCATGGGATTTCAGCACATGCAGTGTCAGACGCATCTCACATCGGTTTGTTCGTTGGGGTCTCCGAAGCATCTAGAGTCAGAGAGGAAGTACAGTACGCCGTGAAATGTGGTGTTGCATGAGTTATGCGTTATTCGGCATACTCCGCTCTATAGGCATATTTGGATGCTCATGCAGCTTGTTTATTATAAATTTTATTTCAGAAAATGGAAGAAAGCGCCACATTAACGGGAGATGTGCTGAACGATTTTGCGATCAACTTGTATCGAAACTCGGGAGCTTCAACGGAGTCTGTATGCGTCTCTCCAGTTTCAGTCACCCTCGCATTGGCAATGATCTTGTATGGAGCTGCCGGAAGAACCAAGACACAGATTCACCAAGCGCTTTTCGGTTCATCGTTGACAGATGACCAGGTTCAGCCCTACCTGGCAAAGCTGGTGTCCGAAATAAGCAAAAAGGACAAGTCGTTCATCCTTGACGTAGCTAACAGACTGTATTGCGCCGAGAAATTCGAAGTATCGAAAACGTACAGCAATACAATACAAAAAGACCTCCACGCCTCAATAGTCTCGGTAAATTTCTCAGATGCAGAATCCACAGTTTCCCAAATTAACAAATGGGTTGCTGAGAGCACTCGTGACCAAATAAAGAAGATAGTGTCTTCAGAATCACTTGATTCGCGGACTCGATTGCTGGTCTTAAATGCCATCTATTTTGAGAGTCGTTGGATGGAAGTTTTCTCGCCAGAGTCGACGAGACAACAAACATTTTATGCCTCATCTAGCAACAGCTTCGACCTCGATATGATGAGTCAAATGGATGACTTTCATTACGGAGAAAATGACGAATGTCAGGTGCTTGTGTTAAAGTATGATCCTGAGTACATTGCGATGAACGTTTTCTTGCCAAAAGAAAAGTTCGGCCTGGAGAAGTTTGAAAAAGGTCTTACGGGCACAAAGTTGAAAGATCTTATGAACAGCGTCAGTGAAATGCAGGTTACGGTACGTGCTGTGTATGTCCGAAAGGATCAGCTAAGCGTTGCATTACG